AGAGATCGGTGCACTGTGCTGCAGTGAACAGATCTGTGCGCAGCGCTGCAGTGAAGAGATCGGTGCACTGTGCTGCAGTGAACAGATCTGTGCGCTGTGCTGCAGTGAACAGATCTGTGCACTGTGCTGCAGTGAACAGATCTGTGCACTGTGCTGCAGTGAACAGATCTGTGCACTGTGCTGCAGTGAAGAGATCGGTGCACTGTTCTGTACAGAGCACGGCGTCGTCGTGGATGTCGTGACGGCACCAGCACGGCACCAGCACGGCACCAGCACGGCACTCACGCAGGTTCTGTTCCTGCCTCCTCGGGACGCGCGCCGGGATGGGCGCGAGTTCAGAAGGGGGAGAGTGGGAGATATGCGATGAGACAGTGTAGATGAGTGGGAAAAATGAGCGCAGAAGGCAATGAATGAGTGTGAGAAGGTTATGAAGCAGGGAGAGTGTTAATGAATGCGGGAGAGCGTGAAGGTAATGACTAAGTGTTAGCGGGTCACCGCCTCCCGCTGAGAGCGCCATTACGGCACACCAGTCGCGCAGTTTCACCTCACCACGTACCCACCTACAGGTCAGTTGACAGCCTTCAAATGAGGCGTCAGTGAGCATGACAGGAAACAGTGTGATGTCGTCAAGTGATGAGTTAAACGTTGCTGGAGGATTTGTGGACTCTTCTTCCCCCTCCACGTTGAGGGAAGGACAGGACGAGCTCAAGCGACACAAGGACCGGCCGTTCTGTGGGAACACGAGAAAGATGTCAGCAACATGTAATAGTATGAAAACTGGCATGGGCATAAAAGATTAGGCACGCCTGTAATAAAAAATATAAAAAACCTGACCCAATCGACGGAGTTATTTTGTCAAAAGAAATGGGTACAGAAGTTAGTAGGAGTATTTTGAAAATGGTCATTGCAAACTAAAATCCACGACCCGCATCAGTTAAGAGAAAGAACGACTAAATATCTCACAGGCATGAACAAAACTACAGTATCACTCGACGAGAATAATGCAATTTCCGCAAACAAAAAATACACAAACTTCATCTCCGGCCTCAAAAAACAGACAAAAATGCACAAAAGGCCGGACACTCGCAAGGGGAGGCCACCCGGTCCCCCCTCAAGTCCCAATATTAAAGGGCATATAAAAGGCGAACTCGGCGCTGCAGTGTTTGGCATGGAGATGAAAGTGCATGCGAGAGCCGAGGTTGGGCGGCCACTCGCTTCCTGGGTCTGTTCGCTTGCCGCAACCCGCGCCTCACTTCAGCGGCACGCGCAACGGCTCGACCGTTGCTAGGCCGATGCACAGTCAATTCCAGATATTATTTTGAAAAAATCGGTAAAATGTCGGAATATAAAATAAAAACGTGGACATAAGCTTCACAGTGCGCTGAAATGACGATGAGTTGCAATAAGAAGACAAATTAAAAGATTGCACGAAATTTTCCATAATTGTGGCATATTATGAGAAAGATTCTCATGTCATGCATGTTCGTTTAAATCTAGAGAAGCTTGATCTTAACTGGTAACGACGGACTTACAAATTCAAGTGATTACCACACAATTATTAGGTATGATTGGTACGCTGATCTTAAGGTGATAACTCTTATCATCACCGACAATGATTTGTCAGATACGAGTCCTACAACGGCTAAGATTGTATGACGCTGCGTGCAGTTGAAGGCTCATACCACAATTATGGCCCTAATGTGGGAAAGGGCAATATTAAGCGTCACCTGATTTATAATATATGTTCAACCTGAACATTAGGTCAAACATTTCTTGACTAAGTTAGAGAGGGAAAGGTAAAGACACTTCTATATATTAAACTTATCTCGATACGGGGTGGTTATATACATCTGTCACTACAGGAACATACTGCAGGTATAGGCTAAGACATCGACCGTTAGGTCGAAGTAGCTCTAACAATTGTTACATCGCGGCGGTCGTGCTGGGGGAAATTATAAAGGTGTCTAGCCCTTTTATAGACTTACTACTTCCGCACAACACTATTGTCCACGTGTCACATATGCTGTATAAGCTGTCGACTCAGCGTCTGGGGCAAACTTTCAGTGACACAGTGGACTCAGAGCTAATTAGATCTGCTGGTAAACACACGAGGATTTGTATCCACAAACTACTTCCGAACATAATGACGCCGGCCCCTGCCTTCATCGTCCTACCGCTAGCGCTACCATGCAAAATATCCTTTTACACTTCACAGTCAAAATTTTTCTCTCGAGAGCCATCCAAGAACCATGCATTCATGAATGGCAAGAAAATCGAAGAAACCTGTCCGTTTAATCAGTTTGGGTGTCCTACGTTCGCTAAAGCACTTCTACGTCGACAACGACGCAAGTTGCCGGAAATATCGACCAAGTCCGGAGGAACGTCCGCATCTCTGCGAGCTCGGAAACTGCCGTAAATTAAGATGCGTTTGTAGGGCGATTGCGCGGCGGTATAGCAGGAATATCCCTCGAGAATCTCAAGAATTCAATGTTCCCGGCAGAATTTCTAGAGTTCGGTGACTGAAAGTCTGATATACGGCATGTTGCAGAGGTTCTCACGTTATATACAAATAAATCTTCGCGTTACACTGGAAACCATATTTGATTTAACAAACCATATATACCTACGCCAAATTTAGTTGGCGTGGTCTCTAAATTACGCTACGTTGCTACAGTAATCTCTAAATAACGCTACGAGTATTTAACAACCTATCAATTACGCTTATTTATTCCTGCAATACCTAAATTGAGCACTGTTTCTTCTGCAATCAGTCACATGTCTGTCGCAATATGATGTTAAATACGTAATTGAACGTAAGTATATATGATGAGGGATATAGCCAGCAGGGCAATTATATCAAACCAATTAACAAAACAATTTAAATACACCACATCTCAAGTCATACATTGAAAACAAAGCGAGTCCCACTACCCGCAAACGTTCGGGACGGAGCCGCTGCTCAGACCATTACCTCGACACTCCGATGCCCCGTACGATCATGGGACAACATACTCCATCACGACACAATCGACGGTGACAGCTGCGCTGTCGAGCAATAATAAAGCAATGTTGCGGTTGCATGTTGTTACAGCACACGCCACAACAGATGCAGTAGTGGCAGCTGTGAAGTCCTGCCTGGCTGCAGTGCTGCTTTAACCGCAGCTGCATAGCACGAAGACTGAGCCTGCTGCTGGAGCCCAACATCGCTCAGTCGCAGGAATTTAAAATAAAATACGGCAATATTAGTCCATAGGATAATCTGAACAAGCCAATGGTCTTAAATGGAATGGAGCTGAATTATATTTTAGGTAGGAGCCGCACTTACCAAGGTGTAAATAACTGCGCAACAACACTCAGACACTTCTTTGGAATTCAATAATTTAAGTTGAGAGACGGGATTGATATTAGAGGCATAGTTAATTGTTTCGCTGCTATAAGATGCATCACTTAAGAGTCGCCCAATTTTAGAGTCCTGGCCCCATACTTTCAAAAAAAAGTTAAGAGATCGTAAGTTCATCAGCCCATCATTGACGGCCTTTCAAGCCAAATCCACCAATCATAGACAAGAAAATAGAGCGTAGGTACATACGTTCACTTGGCGAATTTTGAAAGTATGGCCCCTGATGCCTACTGATCTTACATTCTCTACATCTTACGAACTTAAATATCATACATGAGTCTCTTTATACGGACGAATAATTAGGTAATCTTAACTTAGCGTCTCCATCGACAGTCCCTTTGAAGTTAATTTTCTGTATCAAATATTGATAAACTGCTGCCAAGACTACATGCAAAACATCAACGACGGTTGTTGCCAGGATGTTTATAGTTTTAATCTGGCTTCCTTTTGAGGTAGTCCAGGGACCGGTGGTAATTTTCCCCATCAAAAACTCATCACTGTGATGATGAAGAACAAAAGCGCTCTTTTAATGCTTCCTTCAGAGCCTGCCTTTGGGTCAAAACAAAGTAAATTGGTAGGCCAGATTTTTTGTATCAAGGTCGTTAGAAATGAAACTCGATGAAGCCCAGGCACTTCTGGTCGCCGATAATGAAAACCAAACAAACCACGGGTAATCAATCATCTACTTTTTCCAGACCAATAGACCAATATTCCGTCTCCAAGACCAGGACCTGAAAGCAAACAATGTTTTGCTCGAACTTCTGGAGCCCGCGTGGGATTCTCTGAAGATCGCGTATAAATTATTCCGTTAAAATTTTTAAATTAATAAATGAAGCATTGCTTCATCATCCACCTGTGAAATTTAGTTTGAGTTAGTTTAGTTTTGTTTAGTTTTTTAGTATTTAGCAAAAATTTAATATGGATTGTTTCTTTTGAGATTATATTTGCCTAAGATGAGCCACGATGAACGCAGCTTATGAATAATAAAGAATATATAGAAGCAAATCAGCACACCTAATTAAGTCGCAGAGCAATTGCACGGCATGTACTTGGCATCCGTGCTCGTACCGCGGCTTGTGTTTAGACCCCGTACTCGTAGCGCGGCTTGTGTTTAGACCCCGTACTCGTAGCGCGGCTTGTGTTTAGACCCCGTGCTCGTAGCGCGGCTTGTGTTTAGACCCCGTGTTCGTAGCGCGGCTAATATTTAGACCCCGTGCTCGTAGCGCAGCTTGTTTTCAGCTTCAGTGCTCGTGAAAGACGACAGCAAACAAGTGTCCTCGAAGAGAGCCGCGTCGCAGGCTGTAGAGTTGATAAGGACTCGCAAATTAGACCTGGAATTTTCCTTGACATCGCGGGCCTTCACACTCCTGCCGCGGCGAACGAACATTTCTAAATATTTCAGTCATCCTTTAAGTTCCAACGCGGCCGTCGAAGCCGCGTCCGAAGTTAGGCAAGCATAGCAGCGCGCGACTGCATGGAAATTGCGTGTTGAAGCTCAATCGAGTCATTCTGATTTGGCGAAGTGGACCATCACAGCCATCGGGGGCGGCTCTTTCGTTGATTTGGTTCGTCTGTTGCTGGAAATGATTGGTACAAAACACGATATTGGGCCGTCATTATTGCCGTGGCGGCGCCCACGATATTTGGCCGTCATCATTGCCGAGGCGGCGCCCACGATATTTGACCGGTCAAGTCATCATTACCGTGGCGGCGCCCGCGATATTTGACCGTCATTATTACCGTGGCGGCACCCGCGATATTTGGCCGTCATTATTGCGGTGGCGGGCGCTGAGCAGCGCAGGCGTGGCGGGCGTTGATCAGGCCAGGCATGGCTCAAGCTTGAAATGATTGGGAGGCAAGCTTCTGTTGCGAAAAAAGTGTGTGATGCTCGCGCAAACACATTTACAGTTTTATTTTTCAAAGATTGACTGCTCTGTTGACCGCATAAACCTAATCTTTAAGGTTTAATGTTCTAATCATTTTAATGTGTCATGTTCTCGAACATGAGCAAACACGCATGTGGTTTTCTTTTTAAATATTGACTGCTCTGTTGATTGCATAAACCCAATTTTAAAGATGAATGTTTCAATCATATTAAAAATATACAACCACGATATTCTTCAAATTAATCATAGGTGACTCCAAAGCCCGATGAAATATGAACTGCTGCCATATAGAATCGAACATCTAAGAGCTGAAGTACATGGTAAGTCGGTGCGTATAGTAGGCTACCGAGTGCTGCTGGCGCGAGGTTGCAGCGTACAAGGCAGCAAAGGTAAGACGCTTCTTATGTGATTCTGCTGAGCCAGCAGGAGCCTGCAAGGCCGCTG